TAATATAATACCTATATGCATATATAAATATATTATAATATTGTAACATCTAAAATGTATATAACTATAGACTATTTGCATATTATAAAGACTTATTAGTTAGGTAGTTAAAGAATCGAAGGAGAGCCAATCATGGTGGTCGAACGACTTACAACGGTCTAACATAATGAACAATTATATACAGTTTTGAAACGAAAACCGAGTAACAAAATGTATATTACACTTACGCATACATTTTCGCGTTGTGTTGTCGTCGTCGAAAAATAGATTTATGAGAGTACCACAAAAAAAAGAAAGCCAAACGATTTACCTACCAAATTTTAAGTACCGAATTAATGGTTACTCGTAAAGGGCTTAACAATGTTATTGACCGATACCGCACGGGGATGCTCTTAAGTAGGTATACAGTATTATAATAATTGCAATATTTCATAGTCTGCCGGTTTTTTTTTTTATCCGTCTGTGGATTTACTAAAAGACGCGTACCTACCTATGGTTCGAGTATAACAATATAATAATAATATATACAACTACATTATAACGCGTTTTTGGTGTTAACGTGTACAGCGGAAATTTATTCGAAAAAGAGTGTACGATTGTGTATACATAATATACATATTATACCTACGTTTGTATGTATATATATATATATACACATTATATCGGGACGTGTGCTCCGTAAACCGAGGATTAACAGTTGTACGCGCGGCTTGTATGTCGCGCCGGCATGTGTGTACGATATAAAGAAACACGAAAATCATAAATTCACGGTTACATAAAAAAAAAAAAAAAAAAAAAAAAAAATTCACAGACTCCGGGACATTCCTGCCGAAATATATAATGCGACGCCGTAGGTGCGGGACGGCGGAGACCCACATTGTCGCATTCCAATATATGCGAGATCGTGCACGTTAACAAAATATATTATTATATTCGGTATATTATTATTATTATTATTATTAAACTTGTCGCGTCCTCGCAAAGCGTGAACAGACGAAACACGCATAATATTATAATGTAATATAACGTTTAGGTTCCAGTTGTATGGCAACGTATGCATATGTATTTATACTTAAACATCAAAATATTATGTCTTATGTGTGAAATAGACTTACACGACGTGTGGGCGAAATCGCAGGGGCGCGAAGGGAGTGTTTTTTTCGACTACGCTTCGGAAAGAAAATCTAGAAATCAGCCACCCTCCCCTGATCGGTCATCTAGCCGTTGCAGATCGCGTAGGTCAGCGAAAGCTTTCAGAAAATGTTTAATTGATATTGATATAGTTAAGCATGTATAGGATGCGTGATAGTCCCGCAGTTCGTCGAACAAAAAATATTTTAATATTTAAATAAACATATATTTACTCAGGTGCCTAGTACCTACCTGCCGGTTATGAATTATAATACATAGTTTACGGCTGGTGTATAATGTGCGCGTGCGTATTTATACTAAACGTTTTTAATAATGGGTATATACTGTTGTCAGTAAAAACAAAAAATATGTATACGAGAGCGTTATGCGAAACACAAACATCGTTGAGAATTACCTGGTTAAATAAATCGGTGTGATGATAATATATGGGGGCGGGCGAGGGTCGAGGGACCAAGTCCCGAAGGGTGTGTGCATCATAAACGCTTTGCATTTTATCAAAGGAACTCCCATATAATCACCCTCGCTGTATATTGTTATTAATTGTTATATTATTATGGTGTAGGTGAATTTGAGGTTAATTTTCCAATGCAGTCTCAAATGCATTAATTATATCGTATATAGTTGTTCACTACACCGCTGTCCGCTATACAGTTGGGCCGTTTAAACTTATACATCACAAGTCCATAATGTATATTATATTCCCACACCGAATTTGTAATCGTACTTGCAGTTTGCATTAAAGTCTAAAATTTGCATAGTTATTAAACGAAATTGCGGGGTAATATACATTTTCAATCATAATAAACGACTCGACAGCTCGTGTTATTTTCTCAATTTTTTTTTACGTAAAACCTAATACCCATATATACATAAATACATAATATATAATATTATAATACCTACAACCTAACCGAATAGATTTTATTGGATGTAGGTATTATGATGATTATATAAGATCATTTTGGATACGTTGTTAATTATTATAAATCGATTGGTCACAATCATGATATACATATAGAGGTAATGGATATAAAAATTATACACGTTGGCGTGCAAAGACTCTGTATGTATATATGGAGCCTCGGGATATGAGTAGATAAGTATAACTCGTAAGATGATGGAACAATTATACAAACCCTGTGTGATTTTTTTTCGTCTCAAAAGTGACCGAGGAAATGGTTTTTTTTTCATCAAATTATATTCACGCGAATAACGACGAGAAAAAATCTTTATAATCCCGAGCGATATATTCTGCAACTTTGACTTAATATACCTACGTGTATAAATTATGGTGATAAATGATAATATAGAAATTTAATTATTATATATACCAACTAAAAAAAATTCTCTCATCAACGAGTTAAATGACCTTCGATAAGTCCTAGGGTATACCGTACGACTTAAATATTAACATAGCGAATTACTATATCATAATATATATATGAATTATGTTTACTTGTATTATAATATCATAATATTATGCATAATGAGATCAATTTTTTGATAAACATAGTCATGTGTAATTCATAGTGATTTTGAAATTGTATCGACTCTAGACATCGATGTATTATTATAGTATTGATATCTTTTATATCGTACTAATTTAAACGTTTTCAGACGTAAAACCCTCGACAGCTTTCGTGTTGAGTAATATTATACGTACATAGGTATAGGTACAAAGCACTGGGATCTTTATCTATGTATACATCGACTCGCGATTTCAACGTCAATTATAATTATAGTATTTGGCAAATAATTGACGTTAAAACACTATTTGCTCTCGTCTCGTAACGGCCGACAAGTCTGCTGGTTTTATTTTTGCATACCTACAGCTATTATAATATATTATGGTGCATTTTAGTGCGTATTTATAGGTATAAGTGATACCTACGTGATCTGTTTAGGTTTAATTCTATATTTACCTACATTTTCGCGTGTACCAAGTAGGAAGGTACAGAATATGTATTCTGCAATACTATTTCTGTACCTGCCTACATTATATTAGGTATAAGTATGTACGCTGTATTATTATTATCCAGTTAAAAAAAAAAAAAAACGATTTAAACGTTTTTTTTCCCTATATTCATTTTTAGTACATTATAATAATTGTATCGCTGTCGTTATAAGTAGCCGTTCCCCGGATCTGACAGATCCGCACTCGGACGACGATAATTATATATGATCCGGACACGGATCGTTGTTGATTGCAACGGAAAAAAAAATTCGCTCGATAAAACGCATTGGCGTAGGTATATTATTACAACGTGGCGCAAACTCTAAACGACTTAACGAACAAAACGACCAAACGAACAAAACGACTCAACGAACAAAACGACTAAACGAACAAAACGACGTGCTCGCAGCTGAGAGTGTATAGGGCAGGTATGCGTATTATTTTATAGCACGTCTCGGCCCGCGGGCTTTTCGCTAAGAGGTGTAAATTCAATTCTCTACGTTTTTTATGCACTACGTAGGTGATTGTAGTTTATTCGTGTGCGAATATTTTTATCGAATCGATGTAAAATCTTGAAAAATGTAAGTAGGCAGGTATAAATTATTATTTAATACATTTTGGTCTTTGTGTCATATAATTATGCGTTATATTTTAATATGTTCTGTGTTATTTCACTATACACGCACTGTATATTATGGTATACGTCACAGTGTAATGAGTATATATTACGAGTAAGCGTAAAAAAAATGTACCGAGCGAAGGTCGTTGTCGTTGAGTAGGTAAATATTTTCGAAACGAAAAAAAAATTCCTCTCAAGAGGTCAAGATTCGATAGAAAATAATGTTTATGTATAGGCACGCCAAATGCGGTCGGCGCGTATCTCGGCTGCGGCAGCGATGTCTCCAAACGGCCGCGGCCAGTTATATATAATATTATTATATTATTGTAATAAGATCGGAATTCGCCGACGGCCAACGCCACCGCCGCCGGAGCAACGGTTAATAAAATATATGCACACGGACACGCAACACATACTCCGAGTGATGTCGAGGAGGTAGTGGTGGTGACGGTGGTCGATGATGAGGAGGAGGAGGAGGTGGAGTAGAATACGCGATCGGACGTGTCGGTGCAGATGTCACCGAGATCGCCGCCGCCGCCGCCGGAAAACCCAGTCACCGCGGGAGGCGTCGAGTGACCAGCGGTAGTTGTGCCTGGTACGTACGTACGATTATAAAGCGCATCAGTAGCAGAACTTACTGTGTATACCATATCGGTACACGGGTACCGCTATGTATATATATATATATTTCGTTGGTACACCGTATACCGAGGAGGACGACATGCGGTGGCGATTTATAAAAAAAAAAATCAAAAATGACGTACCGGCGTTATAATATTGTGTATCCCGGTATCCGTGACAGCTGCGGTGTTTACGCATTCATTATATTATATTGTAAACGTCAGTTTGATCGGTGAGGCGCCAGACCGCGGAATTCCGTCTCTGCATAAACATATAAACTCTAACACATCAAGATAAATCTAATAGTTTATAAAACGCGTTTGTTTTATGAATATTTTTTTTCACCAATAATAATAATATTACGCTAGGCGGTAAAGTCTCACCCCCGCGCCGCCCACTACCGTATCCCGCTCATCAAGGTCTCGGTCTATTACCATCGCCTCCGGTCGCCGCCGACACGATCACCGGCCACCACCCATCACCGCCACCGTCACCGGCCGTCCAGCGTCATCGCGATAACGTCCCGTTTTTGTTTTGGTTACTTTTTTTTTTTCCCGTTTTCTCGCCCCGCGGCCATCCGGTGGCGGTCCGGCGCGCCGCGTACTTATCGCACGCGCGCGCACGGCCACCACCACCGCCGCCGTAGCCGTCGTCGTCGCGCGCGCCAGCCTCGTCGCGGCCAGTGTAACCCGCGACGTCCGACCATGCGCAAACGCCCGGACCACAGCTGCAGCCGGCACGTCGCGACGACACCGTGAAGAGACGAGATATGCGCGGCACTGCGCTCTTCGCCACCGTCGCCGTCCTCCTAACCCTCTTGGTCAGTATTATATATAGAACGACTTTAATCCTCGTGCCCTTCTTTCCCTCGTAATTTAATATATTTAAATATATTATATACTATAATATCTGCCCCGGCAAACGTTGAGCTAGAGAATTTTTTCAAAATAAAATTTTTTCGAGTCGGGTATAGATAACACCTAACAAAAACTAAACCTAACAGAGCGCAAACCGAACTTCCTACGAAGGAACACGACTTCGACGAGGTTTGATGGTTTCCGAGAATAGCCACATATATATGTAGGAACTAACAAACGCTCAGTTATTTTTATAGAAATATATATAGATATAATATATATATATATAATTATTATAGTGTACTTGTTTATGTGCCTGCGAAATAATCGGAAGCATTTTTAAGTCTTACGGGAACATTCGTGATAACGGTATTCCAGACTGGGCTTCTCCCGCGAGAGAAACTGCAGCAACGCTCCAAATGATAATAATATTACAGTAAAATCCCGCCAAGACGGAACCGCTTGGCATCCTAAAATGTTTCCGTCTTGACGGAGTTTTCGACTTTACGAGACTCACATTCATTATGCATTTGACCAAAGACATTGTCCGTGTTACCGGGGTTACCGTCTTACCGCGAAGTTTTACTGTCTCATTATACTTCCCCGCGAAACGTTGGCTTTTGCCAACGGGTGTTTCGTACCCATTTATGTTTAATATATCGCTAAAGTTTTCCCACCAGAAAATCTATCGTCGCAGGAAAAGCCATATTTGGTAGCCCGCGTTCGTCTTTCGCATCACACATAAATACATAATTCGACTGCACGGCCGCAGCTAATAAGACACACACACACACATTACTATATGTAATATTATATTATTGTAATATTTTGTATGTAGGTATCACGCGATATTAAGCTCCTTCGGAATCCGGTTATACGTAGGTGAGTTATATATTATTGTATTATTGTGTGTGCCCAGTTTGTCGTGTGCGACCGTATAATATAATAATATGGTTTAATGACCCAAACAGTACAACGTTTCCGATAATCAAACCGCCGATTGTTTTATTTTAAAGTATATTATCACAGTATTAAAAAGCTCGATCCTGACCGAGAAACATATTATTATGTCGGAAACGCAATAATATGTTTCTGACATTTTCGTCGACAAATATTTATGTTACCGCTAATAACGTGAAATTCGCGTGCTCTTGACAATTTTTTCTTTGGTCTGGACCGGAGGCTTAAAGCCTAGTATGTAAAGTTTATATATTATATTTAACGCTTATAATTACCATTGTTTCGTGTTTTTCATATATTTTCACCCTTTCCACACAACATATTTAATATTTCTATTATAATACGAGTATTGAAGTCGTTGTATGATAAACAGTAAATTTGCCAAGTGCTTATAATATAATACATATATAATAATATAGTCAATAGGGGGAATCGTTTTGTACATTATATATCGGAGGGCCATCCCTCCGTCGGCACCCAGCTCTCCAATGGGTTTTACATATTTTGTTGTTTGATTATAATGTGGCACTAACTGCAAGCTCAGCGTGGATGCATCCATTCAAATGCCATGAGTTTTAGTAAAAATGCCGAAGGTCTCATTGGTGTAAGGATTAAGGATATTATATAACAAACGTAAGTCATAATAATATTATCACAATTTGTAGGTACGTCATTGCGCTCGACGACGTTGAAATTCAGTAGGTTCGATTTTAAATTGTTCTTTCACGACCACGAATTCATAGGTCCTCAAAGACTATGTGTATAAAATTATAACAATAATCGGTTTTAAAAACCGATAATCCATATTCCATACATTTTCGCTGTAAATTGTTTTGTTTTGAATAAATACAATCTGAGATAGGTACGTCAAGTAGTATATTATAGTAATAGTTGTTTATACTAAATACCTACTGAAAGATACTATAATAAATTAAAAACACAACATTTTTGTAAAATAAATACTTTTTTGTCGTTATAGCTTTTGGAAATTATGATGTATAATATTTTAACAGTTTTATAGTTTGAAGCAAAATATTTTTCTGTAAACTGCGATTTATAAAATTATTGAACAATAATTTCTCGTTTAAGCGTGTACTTGGTATAACTTTTAAATGTTAACCAATTGAAACTCAGTTATTTCAAATCACGGAGAATCACCAGTAAATAACGTTTTTATTATGATACCTATGTCTATAAACGCGTAAAGCACTAAGGCCCAAATACTTATTGTAAAACAAATTTACAGATTATATTTTACCAACTTAATATAATACAATATATATAAGTAACTTTTAAAGTATTTATTGTTTTGACGAGGAAAATGGTTGAACACCACATTTCTTTATATTATGCTATCCACTATCTCAAGTCTTGTAAAAAATTGAAATGCTTATAAATAAAAATAAATCAAAGTTAGCTAAATATTTTGTATATTATTAAATTGTCTCAAACATTTTATTTTTTTTCAAACTATAAAGCTAAAAATATAGTAAAAAGTTATATTTTTCGAATAATGTAGCAGGTTGCGAGTGTTTTTCCGATCTAATTTTCTAGGTCGGTACATAAATACTTCTGAAACAGTGAAACTTATTTTAAATTTCAAATTACTATAAATCTTTCCAAAAACACGAACGCGATATAAATTCAAGAGGCAAAAAATTATAATTTTAAAATACGATCGACGATTGCTAAAAAAAAATATGTGTGCATTAAATTGTATTATATTATACGAACACTGTCATGTCGTAACGAGTGAATAATATATGATATTAATTGTGATCACATCGTAAGACATTAATTCAGTGTGCTGCAGTGTATTGTAATACAATATTATGTAAAGAGTATAAAACTCATTATTCATAATATAAATATGTGTAGAATAGTTATGATATTAATATATGATACACATTTGAGACCCGTATTCGTTAAACATTTTCAATTTATAAAAATTATAAAAAGCAAATGTCCCTCACGGGTAAAAACTTAATGGTAATAATGTAAAACATTATAATAATAATATAGGTACACTTATTAGGAACTCTCAGCTGTCTGCGTATAAAATAATAAATACACCTACATTAATGTATTATTTTAAAAGTTGATATACAAAAAATAATATGTACGTGATATGTGCGTTTGTAGAATTATTATTATTATTTATTATTGTGTATTTTTTTTACATTGGCCGCAGGCGCTAGCGAAGATTTGCAAATTGCGATCGAAGCGTACACAAAACCATAGGGGTTCGAATGTCAGCATGTTTAGGCATGATGTATATGTAACTATGAATATTATTATAATTAATATACATTCATTCCATTTTTCGCTAACCATTTGACATTGCGCCATGACACTCGCTGGTGCATTAATTCATCAAACGGGGTATTGTGTCTAATTATTGTGTTGTGCACATCGCTTATTATACTTATCCACGAAGAAAACGTGATTATATTTTTGTCTAAAAAGAACTTAAAAAGGATTTGTCCGATTACCCTTCTAAATTTATTTTTGTATAATATATTATAATGCAGATAATTATTGATATGATTCGTTATCATTAAATAATTACTATTTTTATCGATTTTAAAAACGTAGGTAGGTTGTAGGTGTTTAATAGAATCGGTATATTTTATAGGTTTTTATTAATTATATCATTCAAAATATACCAACTGGAAACTAGGAACTCGGGAATCTTTACACCCGGGGGAAAATAATACTCCCAACGAAGACACTTTTTATTTTTGTGGTCAATATTATGAGCTAATTAAAATGTATTCACTACATGCGGTCCACAAGAAATTTTCAAAAAAAAATTTTCAATATCCTATAGTGGAGACCGCTGCAGCAGGTGTAGAATGTAGATAGATATTGAAATCATTATTGCATAATATATATGACATTCAACTGATTCTGATGGTCGCCGATGGATAAATAGCTATGTCGGTCGTGTTAAAATTTCAAAACTTTTTTCGCGAGTCTCAAAAATATAATATCAAAAATCATTTCGATTTCTTACTAACGTGACGGCGATCATGATAACTACTTGTAAGTGCGTACAGTTCCAGCGGAGATCGTTCGTAAGTCAAAATTCGTCCTGCGAAGAGGCGTCCGCGAAGAACGTACGTATATTTTTTTTGAAAAAAATATTATTAATATTATAATATTAATAAGTCATTTACTATAAAGCTCCGTTGGGGTAGATTGTGCGGTGCTTGACCGCGAAATATTCTAAACATTCCGATAAGTGCGTTGGTTTGTGTGTGCATGTGTGTGCGTGTGCACGCGAAAAAGGGCATTCGGCTAATAGCGTTCAAGGCCGTCAACACGTGCAGCGTAATATTATATAGTGCGAGAACATATTATATTATATATAGACGACGAAGTCCTAGACATTGCGACAATATAATACAATCATGAGCGCATTTCGAATCGTAAATTACAAACGTTTTTTAATTATGGCCCTCGGATCGATGTATATATTTTTTCACGTAGTAGGCAGGTACGGCACGTGCGCATTCGAGTCTGCGCATATTATTATACATCACATAGATACGCGTGTACCTCTATATAATATACATATATATATATATTTATATATTGATTACACACCCAATATATGTTGCCAGCCATTATGCGTGCCTGTGTATGTGAATACTATACACATATAATAAAATATTATATATAAATTCGCACTTCTGTCTGCGGTGGCTATTATAACTAATAAGTCCAAATCGTTTTCTTTGACGGAGTTCGGCGGCTGCCGCGGACGTACCCACATATATATAATATTATTATCGCCTATATATTATTATTATTACTCATTAGGTATCGTATACAGCTTCGGGGCATGCATCCAGCGCGATCGGTATTCGGCAACCGGTTGTCTATTTTCGAAATAATAAGGCCACGAAACGTACGTACGTATAATATATATAAGTGTACTTGGCAGGGCGCCTATACATTGTGTGTGTGTGTGTGTGTGTGTGACCCACGACCTAGTCGAAAACGCATCGACGAGACGACGATTAACAAATCCGATAATAACATTATAATATCACCTCGGATTTGCGTAATAATTATAATAATATACCTCATAAATATCATCGCAGGTTTTTTTGTTTCGGTTAAAAAAACTCTATAATATGGAATTTTATTATGATACACGTCGTAGAACTACTCTATATTAAAATAAAGTGCAGAGTTGCGTTATCGGACGACGATTTTTTTAAACTTTTCGTCCATCTGTCCGGTCCCCGACGTCGAAGGATTCGTTTATTTATTTAATCTTATTTCGATTGTTTTATAATAATATATAATATGGGTCCGTCGGGAAAATCGAAAACGCGTCTCGACTCATCTGCGCAGTCGGACGATGACGAATCGGATTCGGAGCGTATAAAATATTTTCGCAGCTTGTCGGATTTAGGGCAAAGAAAGTGTTGAAATCAGTCCACCACGCGAGAATTGCGATTATAATAAAATAGTAATATGGATACGCGACCCGTATAAAATCTATCGGCAACGACGCCGGCTTTGTATGTATAAATACATCAGTTTCATCGGAGTCGTCGGACCTATCAAATTAAACGTTTAACCGTATTATAGTAATGGTAGGTAGGTACCTATGTTCATTAACAACGGGACGAATCGAAAACGAAAAGTTATTATTTCTAATACCTACTTATTAATATTGTCTATCCGAAACAGACTCGAAAAATACCATCGTTGAACTAGATCACGCAAGTAAGATCATAGTATAAACTAATCGAGTGATGACCTATAATACGTATGTTTATAATATGATGTCTCTGGTCAACTTATTGCCAGTATCTATATGTGCATGCTGGTAAAAACCACTCAGACGTGGTACATCGCACTTTTTAAAAATCTCAGTCGTTATGACACCAATGTGTTTTATTGCCTTTATTATTATTAGTCGACGAATATTACCCTAATAATTTGTTTAAAAAAACACAATTAAACAAATGACCTGGTTTAGTTTTGCCGGTTTTATGTCTTGAAAAGTTATTAAAAATAAAGCAACTTGATAAATTAAGATGCTTTCCTAGTTATTTTAACGTATTATTTGCCTAAAATAATTAGTTGATATAGCTTGAATGAGCCATATAGTGTTGATATAACTACGTACCGTGCACTGTGTAATTATTTATTACGTTTATATAGAAAACGATTAATATAGGTGTGTGATTACAGGATATACTTTCATTTCGGTGTAGATCAACGCCGTTGATATTTTTCAAGGTACCTACACGCAAATATAATTTACTTCGATATTCCAATTTATTTTAATTACAATGTAATTATTACGCATTAAAGTGATTCAACCCAATTGTTTATGTAAACACGAGAGTGTGCGTTATCGCGGTGTTTTATAACTATAATAACTAATAAGACAATATACCTGGTGGTAATTATACTCAGTAAAGTTGTTCGTAAACCCCTAAGCCAACAAGAGCGGATAATATTATATTATACATTTATCATGGGAAACAACTCGAAAAACAATAACTCGTGACGTATGTATAATACGATATTATAAATAATATCTCTTTCCTATTTTCACATAATTTATGATTGATGAGATTGACGGCGGACTGTAAGTCGATATAATCACATGTATTTTATTATAATGTACCTATTATACCCATACAATCGAAAAGGAACAACCAAAAGACTATTTACTTTGTATTGAGTCGTCCATAATTTGTTGTGTTGTTTATTTATTTATTTATATTTTGATCACATTATCTCGGTTGACATATTTAGAACCAGGTTAGAGCTTAGAGGTAAGCCAGTGTGACGTTTCGTATTTTAATCATATTTTAGTCCATGGTTTTAAACAACAATTTATAAGTAATAATAAATACAACAATCAATAACCATTTGACCAGTGTAACGACTCGACGACAAGTTGAATACTTTTCAACTTTGTGCTAATACCCGGTAACATGGTATGTTAAAAAGATAACCACATTGTTCAGCCAACTGGGTGAAACACAACAACACAGATATTTTATAACGTTGTGTTAAATTATAGACGACACGATAGAGTCACACTCTTAAGGTGAGTTTTTATTTATACACATTACACTTGTACTAGTTTGATGATTGATGAACGTTCACGTTCGCCTTGAATGCACGTTTCATATTGGCTGACATTGGTAATTCGGATTCAGGATTAAATGGTTATAATTTATGAACGAAATTGTTGAACTAGATCCAACAAAATGGTAATTTGGTTTATCGTGTTAATAACGTATAAGCATACTGGTATACCAAAATCTTATCATGGATACCAATCAGTCATAGCAGATTGTTTTTAGGGCTTTGGAAGTAGTAAATGGACGCTCTCTTCTCTCATGTCGTCACATTTAGTAAAAATTGAAAACATTAGTCATTGTATTATATTATTATGTAGGTACGCGGATTGCATATTTTCTATTTTTTTTTAACTTTTTAATAAAAAAAATACATCTCAGTGTAGTGATGACAAATTTCAGAAACTTAATATTAAAGAAATTTCTGTAATTTAAAAATTAAATTGTATTTTTTGATAGATCTTGATTTTTACTTAAGATGCTTAAAAATTAGAAGTACTCGTTGAAGTTTGAAGTATATTTCATTAGGTACATTAAAAATATACTTTTCAAATGTGTTATCAATTTCAATATTTTGTTTTTCAACATAATTAATAAGTACAGAGGTAATGATAACATTAATATTTGTGCGGTAGTATAGAATTCACAGTGTACTATTAATTTATCTCAACCAAATTACTTATGTATAAAATATTTTAATTAAGTATGTAAATTGTAAATAATAACATTTTTTCTTGGAAATGTCTCTCAGAAATGTTTTACTTACATTACCATTTTAGGCATTTAATTAATTGTTTGTTTCGTGTTGTCTTGCAGGTATCGCATTGCGCGGGCCGCCCTTGGCATCAACGGCGGCAGCAGCGGCAGAGACCACCAGTGCCACCAACACGGCCGCCGGTGGCGGTGACGGTCGCATCGATTTACGCAGAATACGATGATCCGTCCGTGGCCGTCAACGGTCATCCGCCCTCGTCGGACCAGAGCCTGCAGCAGCAGGAATCACCGGAACCGGATTACGGGGAACCGGGGCGGATGTACGTGGAACCAGAACGGGTGTACGCCGAACCGGAACAGAACTATGAGGTAGACGAGGCGGTGAGCGTGCTGAGCGACGGGCGCGTGCACGGAGTGCAGCAGCAACCGACTCCGACGACCGCGGTGTCCGGGAGTTACGACGTCAGCAGCACCACCGATAGCGGCAGCACCGACATCGCCATCACCGGCTTCACCACCGCTTCAAACACCCCCACGACCACCTCTACTACTACTACGACCACGACCCAGGCGATGGAAACCCGGAAGAGCGGTTACGTGGTGGACGGAAAACACTACCGGAAGTACAGGGTCGAGGAAGAGACGCCGGACGGGTTCATCGTGGGCGAGTACGGAGTGGTCAGCCATCACGACGGCACCACCAGAGGCGTCCGGTATACGGCCGACAGCAGCATCAACCCGCGGGTCATATACGAAGCACTGGCCAAGTTCTTGGCCCTCAGGCGTCGCCGGTAGACGCCGCGGACGGACGACGGTGAACTGCCGCTGGCCAGCCGGACGATGTTCAGCTGATCGTACATCACAATATTATTATAGTATAATAATCATCGATTATCAATATTATAGTATAGGTCGGTTCGCTGCCGTTCGAAACTATCTTTTTTTTTTTTTTTTTTAAAACGAAATTTCTAGTCAGGTTCTATTATACTTGTCGCCGCCGCCGCCGCCATCGTCGTCGTCGCCAATCACAGCCGGCCTCAAAACGAATAATCAGAAGACCAACAACAAACATCGTACTCAAACATAATATAATAATAATAATCATGATAATAATAATAATATATTATAAATATTAGCTCGCGCGCGCGCGCGTCTTGTCCGAATCGCGTTCAGTGCCATTTTCCGCGAACAGTGTGACGAACCTACGTATATATAATATATATTATAAGACACGCTCACTCGGAATATAATATAATAATATGTTTTTTACTGTGACTGAATGAAAATTTGGAAAAATGTATATTTATATAACAATAAACATTATGTTTCGATCGAAATAAACGTGCGTAACATATAATATACAACATATTCTTATTATTATATACTATTGTGTATCAGTAACAAGAAGCTTATTGTTTCTCGCGTCATCGTAAATAACGAGAAATTAGCGAACGGTGTGTGTGCGTTTTGTTCTCTCTCTTAGTCGGCCCGCTCAGAATTTTAAAAGTTTGATCAAATTGTAAATTTGATTTTACTATGGTGAAATTGAACATCAACGTTTTATTAAAACAATTTTATCAGGGTGTCCAAATTGTTTGAGTTGGTGTAAGTATTTGCAATCGTGTTAGAATTCGAAATCCTAGATCCTCATAAATGACAGAAAACAAAATCGCTGGTACTAATAATACTACTAATGAGTATAATGACGATATAAGGACCACAAGAATACGGGGCGATGTACCTAAATCGAAGTAACAGTGCCTAACCTTAATAGCTATATTTTAATTTCAATCCTTATTTCGAAATATTTAATATAATATGATATTTAGTAGTACGATCTATTATGATCTACCTATAATATATTATATATGTGCTCCTAAGTAACTGTATTTCACAATACGACTCAGCCTAATAGATCTATCCCCGAAAATCGAAATATTATGTAGGTACACCATGTTTGTTGTTTTAATTTTACCAGACGGATCGAAGGTCACGGCCTTATATAATTCATTGGCACAGTACACTATAATGATTGCATGTGTGTTGCAGGGAAGTAGGTATATACTCTGTACATAGGTATAATATGTCTGGACACGGCGACCATATACCGCAAAACGCTTATGTTTCTATCGTTGCAGTATTTTTGCACCATAATATTATGACCGTGTTTAAATATATAAATACCAACTTCCGGTGCTATGCGGTTTGATACGACAAACTGGAAGAGAAATATTATAATATGCATAATATATATCTCTTCCTGCGCCGGTCACCTACATCATATATATTATAAGTATTTCAATATAATATTTTATTATATATTAAAACATGAATTATGCGTCCGGTCGACCTGAATTACGACACTATACATAAGTGACTTCAATCGACGATCCATATACCTACTTGCATGTATACAAGCACCTGTATAATATGTATTCCTAAACCTTTTTTTTGTCTAGTTCAGTCCACAGACGGTGATTGGGGGGGGGGGGGGGGGGTTGCTTGAGCTTGTGCTTACCCCACCCGAAAAGATTGAAAACGCCCCAACAATTATTCGGCATTTTTCGAATCCCCACTTTTGATTTTATAAAGAAAACCCAAACTAAAATTCAATCAAATCTCCGCTTATGGTGAATCGAAGACCCGATATTAATACATTATATCGTCTAAAAGCGACTCGTTTTTAAATTAAAATTAAAATGTTTATTATTTTATTTTATTTTCATCGTCTCGACGATACACTATATTATATTATGATACGCGACAGATTAGGTTTACACGGATTCACGATATTCATACATATACCCGTATAATATAATATATAGATCTGACATACCCGTGTATTACATACATATAGGTATGCGTGTCTCCGCAGCGTAGTGCGTAGTTTGTTCATTTTTTTACAATAACGTTTTTCTCGTCTTTTTAATCCGCCGTGGAAATTAAAGTCGATTTCCACGGTACGTACCCGTGTGTGCGTGTGTGTCGGAGAACGCTACACAAGACGATGGTCACAACGACCTCAATGGATGTCATTGCCGTTGGGCAATACCTATCGTCGGACGAATGACGCGTGTGTGCGGTTATCACACATCGGAGGAAACCGAGAATGAATAATTGTGTTTTTTTTTTTTTCTGGTGAATATACTTGTATATTATTTTTATTATATTTTTTTAAAATTATTTTGATGCGATCATATTAGTAGTACCGTTAAGATTTACGTCTGCAGCAGTATGCGGAATGATCGATTTAAATTATCATCACCGTGTAATCAAACGTACAGCAGTCGATGTATAGGTACAATGTTCGTGCTGGCGTCGAAATTTGGTCGGGGTGGGACAGCAGATGCAGTGGGTGTGCACTTACAGCTCTTGTGTGATTTTCTTGAAGTTTGTATTATAATTTATAGTACCTAGCCGTTTCGCAGCCGTAGTAATTCCCATAAATCGTATATAATATTATTATCATAAAATATGTTCTGAAAACGTTATTGTTTATTGTAGGTATATAATAATATGTAGTTAAGTAGGTATACTAAAGTTGGACTTTTAAGAGAGCCGTTCCCTAGGATCATCGCTCATAACGATCCATAATATGTAGGACCAACTGAAAAGCAGAATGTATGGGATGTATTCCAACTAGGCGTGATGTCCAATTTAATCAAAAATATCCAGACTATAGGGAATTGACTAATATATTATTAATCAGCCGCACAAAATAGTGTGACAAATTTTAATACTTATAGATATTATAAAGACAATATTATACTACTATGATTCTATATGAATATTTAAAAATTAAAAACCCATAAGGTCTAAAGTGGTAGCAGATAGTAATGTTGCTTATATTTACTACAGCGTGTTCATAACAGCAGTTTATTTTTTGTTCTAAATCTACAAATAAACAACATTATGTATTATATACTTTGACCTATTTGTAAAAAATGCAATAGGTACATTGGTACTTGTATACTGTGGTATGTTGATATTATGTTGTACTTTCCATTTGACCTTTTCACACTATTGGCCATGTAGTACGAATTGTTATTGTTCGATATTTACTGAAATATAATATTAACGTAGGCATAAAATATAACATGAAACGCAAAATGAAAATACATTCTTAGTAAAATATAATATTATGATCTCGGTTGAGAATAGTGTGAACAATAAATAAATTACGTTTGATTAAAAATAATTTAATTATGAATTTATGATTGTGACTTAATGATATTATAGCATAGACAAATTTAATAATTACAAATATTTGCAGGTTAGTATTTTTTCTTTTAAATTACGTGATTTGTCTAACAATAATGGACATTTCAAACTATACAAGATATAAAATGTTTATACCATACATAATATATTATTCTGATGAAAATTTAAGAAAAAATAGCAGTTAATGCGTTACTATAAATAACTTCGAATCAAGAAACAGCTGATTGGATAGGTTTCTACAGTATATTATTTATATTTTTTTTTATGTAGACCATACAAAGATTGGATTTTTAATAACTGTTTACGAAATGATAATAATTAGTATCTTGCGTTATACTAATATTACATACATAAGTATATAACACTATAATAATATATTCATAAAAATGTGTAACTTGTTTATAAGACAATAAATTAGATATTCGAAAACAAGGCGTAGGTATTTACGTTTGAAAATATTAGTGAAGTGGATAATATTGTTACAGTCAGATTTATTATTTTAGTTTTAATTGAGTTTTGAAGCACATGTTTTATTTGTTTGTAATATACACCGAAATGACATATAATAATAATTAAACTTCCATTTGCAGAACATTATTATGGCTTTTTTATGTTTCATGACCAATTGATTATTGAAATATTTTTTTTTTTATATATATTCATTCTACGTCATTGCTCATTTTTGATAGATTGGGTGGAGGATTCGGTGCAGACGTTTACAGGTTCAATCAGATCTTAAAATCAAGTGCAACTGATTCTCAAGGTCGAAAAAGAACATACCTGCTGGATTACTGATATATTTTTTTCGCAATTAATTAAACTGAATCCGTATAAATATATAACTTGTATAAGGATAGAATGCTTAAAAACATGTTTTGTTTTTTCTCTAACCCACTCCGGTCATTCAACTCCAATGAGTGGTGAAAAATATGATTTCTCAAATGAAATTGAAGGTTGTTTTTATACCATTCGTACTTAACACACAATGTTTTATATAATAAAATGCTCTATAGTCACTTATCAAATACGGTATAAATCCATTGTACATTCGAATGTACATATTATATAACACATTTATAGAGGTATATGCATGGGGAATTGTTTATATTAATTAATTTACGAATAAATAAAGAAAGATTTTAAACTATAAATGGCTAAATGTATGCAACTTAACGTTAATAAATGTATTGTATGCTGACGAAAATTCCTAAATATAATTTACCTATATTATTTTACATCATTCGGGTTGTAATTAAGATCGACTTAAAAATAATAACAAAATCGTTTTCAACTTTGTTGTTCAGTTTATTTTATCATTTTATCTAATCGATATACTATACAGTATACCTATTACTTAATGTCTAATCATCTGTCAGATCAAATTCGTATTGTACCTACAATTATACCTAAAGGTAAATATATTTATTTATAAACAATATAAATAATATATGATTATAACTTTTGGACTTCGGTACATTTAGTGGTGTATGAAAAATTAATTTTTGGACATATCAAGATGCCATGGTTATAATATTATACACAATAAAAAGTGATTCGCCAAGCATATACTCATCTCCATTCTTTCTTTTAATAATGAAATTATTCATCGATTTTTGGAATATTTAAATATAACTAACCTTCAAAGACTATTTTTTCAAAGTCGTGGATCTTTTTGTACTGCTCAGGCCTGTGAATCACCAACATTTTTAAATCGCCATAGTCCCAAATCTTCTAAACCCATTATCATGAACCCATAATATCCTAAGTACTGAAAGTTAAGTAACTCAAAAACCATTCGTTCAAATTGTACTTTTGATACCTCAACATTTTCAGAAAATTTATCCGGAAAATAATTTTACAGAATTACAGTCGAAAAAAGGGTGTGTTCTCATTTGAAAAACAAAAGTTTGTGTCGTCACAGGACAATAGTAGTACAAACAAATTCAACAACTAAAAATAATGGTTTTTGAGTAAATTTAAAAGTATCAAAAATCAGAATTTGAATAATTTCATTGTTAAAGGAAAAAATGGGAGTGAGCATGATTGGTGAATCATTCTCTATGTAGTATATTCATAAATGTGTGTCATTTATGTGTGATATGTGGTTATTACTTATTGATATTGTTGATTGAAAAACAAA